CAGGTGATCACATGAGGGAAGGGACAGGGGCTGCCTAGTAGTGGTTGATGGCAAGCAAACTGGCGCTGAGCTGCTGCAGTGAGAGTTCGTTCGCTCAGTGGTAGGGTAGCTGTCGCTGATGGCGGTGGTAAAGCTGAAGAAGCAGGAGGGTGATGGTTAGGATTGGCAGGAGCCCAGCGAGGCAGAAGGGGCCCGACGGAAAGTGGGAGAGGCCAGTCGTGTTGGGTCTTGTCTCTTAGTGGCCTCTTAGATACCACGTCTTCTTTATCCACTCATCTGTCATTGGACGCTTAGGGGGCTTCCATGACCTGGCTATTGTGAATAGTGCTGCAGTGAACATAGGGGTGCGGGTATCTTTTCAAATTATAGTTTTGTCTGGATGTATGCCCAGGAGTGGGATGGCTGGGTCATGTGGTAGCTCTATTTGTAGTTTTTTAAGGAACCTCCATCCTGTTCTCCACAGTGGCTGCACCAACGTACATTCCCACCAGCAGTGCAGGAGGGTCCCCTTGTCTCCACGCCCTCTCCAGCATTTGTTATTTGTAGACTTTTTGATGATGGCCATTCTGACTGGTGTGAGGTGATACCTCATTGTAGTTTTGATTTGCATTTCTCTAATAATTAGTGATACTGGGTATCTTTTCATATTCCTGTTGGCCATCTGTATGTCTTCTTTGGAGAAATGTCTATTTAGGTCTTCTGCCCATTTTTTGATAGAGTTGTTTGTTTTTTTGATAGTAAGCTGTATGAGCTCTTTGTGGCCTCTCGATGGAAGGTCTTAGAAGCCATAGTTTGATCTGCAGAAATGCACTGAGTACCCACTATGGGCCATACTCTGTATTAGGCACCAGGATATGAAGGTGAGCTCTCTCCGACCCTGTCTCTCCACCCGGAGCTGGGGATCTAGAAACAATGCATTACCACGTGAAGGAGGTTCTCATTACAGCCTGACTTGAGCTAAGGGCACTGGAAAAGAAACGTGCTTTTTTTTTTTTTTTTTTTTTCAGAGTATATGGCGGAGGAAGCTGCCCTCGATCTGGGCACATCAGGGAATACTTTACTGGGAAGATGATATGTGCACACTTGAGCTGTGAACTGAAGGATGAATGTGGGGTGGGGGTCGGGCGTACAGTTCCAAGGTCAGGAATAGCGTTCACGAGCCCTCTAGTGAAAAGGATGACGGGTTAGGGGAACCAGCCGAAGGTCAGCGGAACTGGGGCACAGAGTGAGCTGGGTCTGGAGGGTGGGCAGGGGCTGCCACGCAGGGCCTCGTTGGCCTGGCAGGACGAAACGCGGTCTTTATTGTGTCTTGAACAGGGAAGCCCTCTGTCCTGATGGACAGGAGGTGCCATCATCAGGTTGTCGGTTTCAGAAGTCTCTCTGGCCACGGGGTAGGGGGTTGGAATTTGAGGGGCAGAGAGATGGTGGTGGCTGGGAGCATGACTTTGAGAGTTATTTAGGAGGTTGACCAACAAGGCCTGGCAGCAGCATGGATGTGGGGCATTGGCTGGGTGAAGGATGACACCTGGCGGAACTGGCTGAAGTCAGTGCTTTTCCCTGGGCTCGAGGGGGCGTGGGACCTCGAGTTCTGATGGGGTGAGTGGGGTGAGAGGCGGCCATTCTAACTAACCTGTGGGGTTAGGGTCTTTTTTTTTTGGGCCGTGCTGCGAAGCATGCGGGCTCTTAGTCCCCGACCAGGGATCAAACCAGTGCCCCCCGCAGTGGAAGCACTGAATCCTAACCACTGGACTGCCAGGGAAGTCCCTAACCTGTGGAGTTAGAAGTGCCTTTGGACCACGTGTGAGGAGGAGTCGACTAGGCAGAAAGAGGTCATGGGTCTGGAGCTCGATGGAAGGGCAGCCGTGGGAGCAGAAGGAATCTGGCGCTAAGGGGGGTACCAGGGAGGGGCACCCCGATGGAGGACAGAAGCCGTCCCCGAGCTGGAAGGGACCTGGGAGATCAAATCTTAGCTTCTTGGCTGTACAGGTGAGGAAACAGGCTCAGAGGCGGGTGGGACCTGCCAGCTAGTGGCAAAGCCGTCTCTCAGACGGGATCTTTTGTGGTCCAGGTTCAGTGCCTGGTTCGCTGTGCCAACTCGGGGCCTTCACGGAGACACTGAACGCGAGCCAAGGGCTCGGATGTCAGCCCCCTGATTCCAGGTCTATTTCTTGTCAGCACCCAAATGGACAGTTCAGAGCTTCACATTCTTTTCTTGATCCACTTTAGAACTGACGTTCTGCCGGCTCCTTATTAAAGGAAGAGCAAAGCAAGAGCCGGCTACAAGTGTTGGGAAGCTAGAAATAGAACTATACCAGGCCCTTACTAATCAAGCCTGGCAAAGTCCACATGGCAGCCAGGAGAAGGACTTGGGCGCGGTTAAAGCGAAGATTGTTTGGCGACGCTCTCTTTTTCTGCCAGTTATTCAAATACCCAGCCAACTCCAAAAGCACCAGTTACTACCTAAAGCTCGTCCCTCAAATATGGGAATTAGGTACAAGAAAGGCAAGTTAATCTTCCTCAAGACCCTTTCTCAGGATGTCTACTCCGTGAGACCCGTGGTATATTAGCAGCTTCTCCCAGCCATTACTTTAAAAATTTAATGTTTAATTAGACGTGGAACATATGAATTAGATGCGTTACATAAGAAGTTAAAAATACTAACTAGAGCTAAGGCTAAAGGCTGCCTTAGTGACCCTCCACCAGCCGCGGGCTCCATAACCCACCTCTCGAATCCCCCTGAGGTTACCGGCTAGTTTCCACAGAAAAATGGCTTTTTAAAAAAAACACAAGCAGCGTCTATGCCACCTTGTGGCTTTTCACTTGGCCCCGTATCTTAGAGACCCTTCTGCACTGGTTCCCGTAAGCTGCCTGGCTCCTGGATTGTCACCCGTTGTCTCTGGTCTGAATAGAAGATACTGACAGTCACCTCCCTGTTGACATGCGCTTGGTCCCTGTTGGAAGAGCGTTGCCCCCCGTCCCGGCACCTACTCCATGTGTGCGTTCACAGGGGTTTCTCTCGGGTCGATCTCAAGCGGTGGGACTGCTGGGTCCCAGGTAGACACAGGGCTTTGGCTCAGCCGCCCTTCAGTACGAGGCCACCAGTTCGTCCCCACCAGCGGTGCATGTGTCCCCAATCTCAACACCACCCCGTTCCCCTGACCCAGAGAACACAGACCTCCCTGGGTTGGGAGTGAGGGCTCGGGGCTGGGCCTCTGGGGCTGTGACCTTGGGTTCATCATTCTTGTCTCTAACCAGTCAAGGAAAAACGTTGAACTTCAGTGAAGTTCGTTTCAGAGATCTGCCACGAAGGCAAGGGGCGGGAAACCTCACTGAAAGATCTGAGAAGAGAGAGGCCAGGTGTGCTGGGGTCGAGGCCACTTGTAGTTCTTCCTGGAGGTAACTGAGCTCTTTTAGAAACAGCATCGTTCACACCACTACCTCGGGGTGGGGAGCTCTGCTGCGCTCCGCCGATTGCAGCCCTCATCGCTGGGTTGTTTTGAACCTGAGCGGTAGACCTCCTGTCCTAATCCCGGATCTAGACAGTTTAAGTTGGGAATGGCCACAATTTAAAGAATGCCCTCCAGCCTTTGAAATCCAGGTCTCTGTCCTCCCCCTGCTTCCCACCCTACTCACTGCAGACGTAGACAAGTTAGTCATGGTGCATAACTAGGGTGACCTAATCATTTGTCAGCCAACCGGGACACGTTTGAATGTGCAAGGCAGTGCTAACTGCGGGGGGATACTGGGATGACACGTAAAGCAGGACTTCCCTGGCAAACTGGGCTGTATAGGCACCTGGCTTTTCCTTGATAATGATAATACTGTTATTAATGTGACACTACAAATAAATAAATGAGGTAATACAGTGAACAATAATATAGTTATTTTTAACATGTTTAAAGGAGTCAGCTCCCATTTCAGGTATTTTAAATAGACTTGTATGTGACGAGAGCAAGGTCTGCCATTGAGAGTACCTGCGAAGTTGGGTGAACTGCCTACACGAGAGTGACATTTGTTCACCTGTGTTTCTTTCTGAAGTCATTGTGGAAACTTGGGGAAAAGAACAAACTGAGGAGAGGAGAAACAGGAGCTTCTCCAGGGGTTCCTTGGGGTTCATGACCGCGAGCTGAGCCCAGCGACCCCCCTTGTTGGGGCTTCCTTTGGTAGCAGCTGCAGTGGGTAGGGGGGCGGGCTCTGGGCTGGCAGAGCCGTGGAAACGCCCCGAAGCACAGGGCCTCGAGCAGAGAAGGCTCAGTCCAGGCTGGGCGGCCGGCCTGCTGTGTGCAATGGCCGTTTTTAGGCAGAGAACATAGTCAGAACTTTCTGAGCCTCAACAGTACCTTAGAAGTTAGAGAAAATTTACAGCCTCTTAGAAACATCGAGATCATTTGTGCTCAGAGTTCGCTTATTTCTGTTCTACCGTCACGATTTTTGCCATATCCGCATCCTCTAAGCACGTAATAGTTTTCTTTAAACCGACTTGCTTTCTTCTCGTAAATGAGTTTGGTTTTAAAGGAAAATTATATCAGCATCACTTAGCTTCTGGCTGGGTATTTTTTAAATACACGCCAAGATCAGCGAGTAGCTCTTAAAACGGACAGCCCCTCTGTTGCCTCGTGCCCCTCAGAATCAGAATCGCCTCGGCCACCGCCTGGATCTAGTCCAGCGCCCTCTTCTCCGAGACACATACTCACGTGGACCCCAGGGAGGCTGTGAAGACAGGTGGTCTTCCTGTCTCCCTCTCCAGTGACTTTCTGCCATCAAAGGGGACAAATTAGAGTTGACCCCAGTATGGAGTAAGGCCGCTCCTAGCGGAGGTGTGGTGGGAAGGATTCTGGTTCCAGCCAGCTGCACCCTGTGGAGTTTCAACAGGACCGAATGGCTCGGGGCGGATTTTCTTTCCATGACATTTGCCTTCTAATAATAAATCGACAGATGTAGTTGTCTCGCTCTGCCTTTACCGTGACATTTGCCGTCACTTCGCATGTTTTTGTTTGCAGACGCAGCCAAGAAACACGCTTCTCCGGGAGGCTTCACCCTGTGCCCTTGGCCTCGGCAGAGCCGTGTTGCAAGCAGCGGCCACTCAGGTCGGGCCCCTCTTCCTTCCCGCCCGGCTTCTCGCCGGGCCGCCCTCTCCCCTCAGAGCCACGGCCACTCCCCTCCTTCGGGGCTTTTCCGGGAATTCCGTGGGGCAGTGGGGTCTTTCCTTCCATCGTGCTCTCTGTTCTCGACTGGCTGCCAGAAAATGCCAGAAAAGAGCCCGTGCGTAAAAGTCCATATTCAGACGTGGTAGGATCCGCGTTTCATAAAGTTCAAAAGCAAGCAGTATATGCACGAGGAAACCGCAGTGATGTTCACGATAAGCACACGATAAACCCCAGCTGACATCTTTGTTGCCTATGCAGAGAAGGTGGGCAGGGCAGGGGAGCAAGGGGTTCTAGTCGATAAGGTTACCGACTGCGCTTCCTTGGGTCGGCTGGAGGGTTACAGGGCTCACTGTAGGATTTTTAAACACTAAATTTAAAAGGTCTGCATCGGTGGAAGGGACATCTGACACCAGTCCAGGGCGTGCAGGGAGTGGACCCGTTGTGCCGTGGACTGCCAGGGCCTGCTCGCTTCTCTGCTGCTTGTACAGACTGACCGGTGCCCAGAGAGTTCCGGTGCACGCTAGGCCCTCAGCAAACTTTTGCTGAATATTGTTTTCACATGTATATTTGTAAAGTTGCAATGGGAATTTCCAAGCGCTCCGAGGCAGCGATGAGGCAGGTGGAGCTGAGGTCCAGGGCCCCAGCACAGCTGCGTGGCATAAGCCCCGGCGCCCTGCTTCCCTTGTCACCCCCAACCTTTTCTCCAGCGGCCTTTAAAGCATCTAAATCCCAGAAATCATCTCATTGCACCCACTCTTCCTGAGTTCTTTTGGGGTCTGTTGAAGCCGCCCTCCTCCTACGCCCCTGGGGAGAGCGTGTCAAGGTCACGGGGCCCTGCTTTCCCTGCCTCTTCCCCACGGGGCGTTTAATCTCTGCACAGACCGAGGGGACCCTCGCCAGGGGAGGGGACCCTTACTGCTGTGAGCCCCAGGAGGCTCCTAAAGCCACCCCCCGTCGTTTGGGTTCCCTTTGAAAGGCCCCCCGATTGCTCACTGGAGATGTCCCCAGTTCCCAAAGCAAAGGTGGACACATTTCCAGTGACGAGGCAGGTTGCAGCCATGGTCTTTCTAAAAGAATGCCCGACGGGCCCCAAATCAGTGTGATGTCAGTTGTCACCGTCCGTGTGGAAAGATTTTGCCACGGCCAGCTGCTGGTCCTCTTTGTGCTATATTAATACAAGGGCCACGGGGCCCATCGGAGTCGGAAGCCAGGGAGAGAGGGACAGCTGTGGCAGACATCACACCACGCTCCCGGCATGTGCTCCGTGTCACGGGCACGCAGATGGCTCAGAGGCCCCCAGCCCGCGCCTGTCTTCTCCTTGTAGGGCCAGGAATGGGCTCGAGCTGGCAATACACTTGATGCAGGAGCCAAGCGAAGAGTGGCGGGATGGGGACGGAGGGCTCGGCCGACCCCGTGTTCCGGGTCAGCTGCCGCGTTTACTGGAAGCGGAGGCATGTGCTGGCCGAGTGAGGCCCCGGCATTCAGACAGCTGGGGGTACTGGGTTCTACATGCCAAGGCTGCACAGATATTTTTAAATGTCCCAGGACAAATGGAAGCCCAGGCGGCAGCAGGGTAGAGGGGCAGGGGGATTTGGAGGACACCACGTCACCGTAGCTAGATTTGGTCGGGAGAGCTGGGCAGGATTAGTGTCTGGGAAGAAGCCCAGCATGCGAAGAGGTAGCAGGAGGGTCCTGTGAGTGAGTGGTAGGCCCTGGCAGGCAGAGGAGGGCAGGTGAGGGCTCAGAGCAGGTGCAGGGGGCAGGGGACGTGCCCAGGACAGGTCTGGAGGTGGGAGGTTGGCAGGACTGAGCCCCCAGCTCAGAGGGACGGGATGCGGATGCAGCCTGTGGCTCAGGCCCCTGGTTTTGGGTGTCAAACAGACCAGAGCACCAGGCTCACCCTGGTCCACCCCACGCCCCTGGGCGACGGCTCATCTGCCCGGGCGCTTCCTCCCTCCCCCAGAAGGCCCGGGGCTCTGGGAGACCAAGCCGCTAAGCGTCGCTGTTACCGTCAACAGCAAAACCTCATCGGTGCACACCCGCCACCCCAGAGTGGCGGTGGAAGCTGCCCCCAGGCCTGAGCCCACCCAGGGACAGGTTGTGTCTCAACTGCACAGATGTTTTTAGGTCCGACTTCTGATAGCCGCCAGCATTTTGATAGTAGGCGATCTGACCAAAAGCTTTGGAGATTTGACTTCTCTTGGCCTAAGGGAGCCTCTGGGTGTCGGGGCCCGCCATCCACAGGCCCCCGAAGCTGAGGGGGTGGCCGCCCCCTGTCGGCGAGCCTCACACCCGCCACCTCACCGTCACCTGGCTCCGTCACTCAAGGCCGAGCAGGGCCTGGCCTCTGTAGGCATTTTCACTTGTCCTCCGGCAGTAAAGTGGAGCTATTATTATCTCAGAAGGAACGAGGGCCATCAGAATTAGCCTCTGAGCTGCTGGCCGGGGCCTCCTTGACTTTGCCGTGACATTGGGCTGGGAGACCTGGGCTCATGGACAAGCCCTGAGTGGCCCAGCCTGGGGAGGAGCAGGTAACGCAAGGGGGCAGCGAGCCCCTCACCAGGCCTTGGCCAGGCCCATGGGGCCAGCGAGGTGGCCCAGTTTTCTCCCCATGGCCGCTTCGTAGCCTGAACAGACACTCAACAGGGTCAGGGCAGTTACCGCGGCTACACCGGCATTTGTGTGTCTCTGGGCCTCTCGGCTGTGGCCAGGCGGGGGCTCAGGAAGGTGCTGAGGAGGCCAGGGCAGGGCTGAAACCTGGGTGTGGCTCCTGGGCACAGGGGAAGGAGAAGCGGAGGGGGCCGGGCTGGGGGTGGGGTTCTCTTGGGGCCCCTGGGGCCCTTGGCTGGCGGCGGGCAGCCCTTGAGTTCATTCCTATTCCTATGCAGAGTTTCCTCCTTGTCCTCTGCAGGTCAGACTTCTCTGTTGCTTGTCCAGGCCCCTGGGAAGGAGCCACGGCAGCCATGACTGCGGCTGGGCCTTCAGGGCCACCTCCGTGGACGCTTAGTCGGAGATCCCTCCTCTCCCATTTCTCCTGTGGGAGAAGCGCTGGGTTGGCTGTCAGCACACAGCCTGCCCCACGCTTGGTCTTTTTGTGGAGAGGCCCTACTCCTGATTTGTTTGTTTCCCTTAGTTTGATGTGTCTCGTGGTGCCTGCCCTCTCCCAGACACGAGGAGAATACATTCATTCACTTAGTCTTGTAACCTTACGGGGAAGCGGAGGCACAGAGAGGTCAAGTAACTTGCCTGCGGCTGTACAGCTGGCAAATGGGGGAGCCTAGATTGGAAGTCAGGTGGTGGGTCGGTCTCCAGAGCTCACTCTCCAAGCCGCTGCCTTTGAATGCCTCTCGGCATGAGGGGGCTCTAGGGAGGGGTCTGAGATGGAGCTTGGACTGAGTCAGGAGCCTGCTGGGTCACAAGCTGGGGAAAGGCCCTGGCGTGGGCAGAGCTGGCCATGGGCCGTAGGGACAGCAGAGTCCAGCTTGGCTGCAGGAAGTGGTGGGGGGGGGGCGTGAGAGGAGGGCAGCAGGCTGAGGGGTCTAAGCCGTGGTCTGAACCCACGCCTCCTAAAGTCCCCCTGCTGTGACCTCCCTGGTGGCGCAGCGGTTAAGAATCCGCCTTCCAACACAGGGGACGTGGGTTCAATCCCTGGTCCGGGAGGATCCTCCATGCCGCCGGGCAACTAAGCCTGCGCGCCACAAATAGAGAAGCCTGCGCACTGCAACTAGAGAGCCCTGCGTGCCTCAGTGAAGACCCAGGGCGGCCAAAAGGAAAAAACGAAGCCTCCCTGCTACCGCGGAGGAGATCGTCGGAGGCAGGAAGGAGCAGCGGGGGACCAGTCAGTCCAGATGAGGCCTGGCCGGAGCCACCAGTTGGCGGGGAGAGTGTCTGAGATGATCTGGGGGGCTCACAGCACGGCTGGTGGGCGCATGAGAGGGGTCAGAGGTGACTTGGGGTGGCTGGGGTCTGCTTCCCAAGGCTAGTCTCAGGGCGGCTTTCCCTCTGGGTCCTTGTTATTGACAGTGTAGAAGAGGGTCCCTGGTACATCTGGGCCCTTCCTCAGCCCTTGGGCTCAGCCTGTCCTCGGAGCTGGTTCCTTCTGGCCTGGAGCCCACGTGGTGGGGAGGTTGTCCTCGTTGGGGAGATGGCCGAGACTGGCGGAACCAGTGTGCACGGTGACCCAGCCTCCGGCAACGCCTCCCTCCCACCGGTCCCCTTCTGAAGGGGCCACCCATCTTCATCCTCTTGCCAGGGTGTTACAGGGGTTTTCTGGGGTTTTTGGACCAGTGAGGAAAGCGATGCTGGAGAGAGGGTCAGTGCTGGGAGCCACTTCTCCAGTCCCCTGACGGGAACAGCAGGCTGGGTGGGCTGCGTGGGTGCCTGGTGCTGCGGGTCCACTGTGAAGGGGTCTCTGGGACACCCCCAGGCTCCCACTGGAGCCCCACCCGGCGTCCTGCTCTCTCTGGGTGATTGACCTTCCCGGGGGCCCGAGCCTTGGCACAAAGTGCCCCAGGCCCCCGCCAGCAGATGGCACAGCTGCAGTAACCCAGCTGGCCGTGCGCCTTTCTCAGGAGACACCGGGGGTGGGGCTCCTGCGGCCCCCGCACCCTGGACACCTCCTGGACCTGCTCTTGAACCTGGCTGTGTGGTCACAGGTAAGTGACACGACCCACGTGGCTTTCCCTGTCCGTACCATGGTTGGGTGCAGGGACCACGGGTTCCACCAGCTCTGTCATTCCATCCCGAGCGACACACGGTAGGGCTCCCCACCCCCGTGCCTGCCCCGCAGAAACAGCAGGAGCTCGCGGCCCCGACTCCTTCCTCCGGCCAACTGGACGGGCTTCAGAGAAGCTCTTCTAAGCCTGGCTAGGGGCCCGAAGGAGTCAACTCCAGGCAGGTGATTTGTCTAAGATCACAAAAAAGGCCTGGGGGATCTCGACTCAACCCATTTCATTAACAACCTGCTCCCCTTCATCTGAAGAGGGGCCCCATTTTCAAAACCATGACCGCTTCTCCCTTAAGTCAGCAGCAGACGACAGCCTAAAGATTGCCCGTAAATATGCGTTGCTCTGAGGGCTGTTTTGGCCATTAGAAGGACGCCAAGTCAAAGGTCCGTCAGAGTGTGTCCTTGGGGCGTTGTGGGGTGTGCATGGGGGCTGCCTACACCCTGTTAACCCTCTGCCCCCTTTCCTCTCTCTCTCTACCCCAAGCCTTTCTGCTCTCGAGCGTCCTTGGAGCCGTCAGCAGCGGTGTCCCCCCTCTGAAGCCCCGAAACGACTCTGTGTGGTACCCCTGAACCTCCATAATGCCACCTCCTTGATTTGAAACCTCAATGCTTCAGCCCCTCCTTGATGGGCGTCTAACCTCGCCCTCTGAAGGAAAGGTTTGCTAAGAAAACAGAATTTTATGCACAGTCTCGGGAGGTAAGGCGTGGTCTTCACCCTCCACCAGAACCTGCCTGTTCTTAAGGGTTTCCGTGTTGCATGATCTGCAGGTTAGAGTTGGGTCACGTCTAGCTTTGAATAAAGGCCCAGCAAGTTGCCTCTTAGAAATACCTTGTCACAGCTGAACTCAGGTTCACCATGGGGCTTCTTTAAGATGGTCTGATTAATTCATGGTGGCCACCCTGCGGCCCATAGCCGCCTGAGACAAGAGGATTTACTGTACCAGTTTACTGCCAGGCCGTATCAGCTGATAAGCAGGAGACTATAGACCGTCTGTTTAAGAATAAAAATAAAATAAAAGTTAACAGCGGCGCAGCCCTAGAGCAAACACTTTGCACTGCTGCATATAGTGAACGAGCCTGTTGGACGTAGTGACCTTGGCTGAGGTAGCCATGGGCTTGTCCCTCCGTCCCTGCGCGTCCGGGGCGCCGGGCTGCTCAGATCTGTGGCCTTCCGGCCCCCAAGCAGCACCCTGGAGGGCAGAGCTCCCCGCCCCACAGAGCCCCGGGCATCACTCCCGTCCTGGCCGCAGCCAGGCTCCCCCCTCCAGCTCTGGCCACATTTGCGGGTCTCTAACTCTCTTTAGGCCACAGCGACTGTCCCCAGGCAGGATGTCCAGCCCCATCAGCCGAGAGCCCCCACGTTCAGTCGCGTGGACCCATCGTGGAGGCCGGCCTGTGGGGTGGGCGGGACACGGGAGCGTGGGCCGAGGAGGGCTTCCTGGGGCCGCGAAGGACGGGCCTTTTGCTTGGCTTCGTGGTGAGCTGCCAGCCCCGTTTTGGTTTGCAGCTTTTGCTCGGTACTGCGCGGGGTCTCCTTCGCCTTGGCACTGGCTGGGCGGGGGAGGCGTCATCACGGCTCTCCTCGGGTCCACATGCAGGACGACATCGTTGGCGCGGCCCACCACTCAAATCAAGGCGGCAACAGAACCTTCCGAGAAGAGCCTTCAGAAGTGAAATGTCGAGGCTGCCGTCATGCGTGAGACGGTGGCAGAGCCGCGATCCACTTCTCTTCCTTTCCAGGGTGCCCTGAGGCTGCTGCCGAGCCCACGTTCAAAGGCTGTTTCTTCAAAGTAAACGGTGCTGCCTTCGAACTGGGAGGGGAAGTGGGCGGTTGGGAGGCAGGTTTCCACGTGCGTGTTGAACGGCTGGGGCGTGGTCTTTGGTTCATGATCGTGTGAGAACTTGGGGTGCGGACAGGGAGGTCCAAGTCCGTCTGGGCCCCGGTGTTGGCAGGGCCGGGAGGCGGCATCAGGCACAGCCCTGTGGGAAGTGACCGTGAAGGACCCTTCCGGAGGGCCCCCCCCAATCCTGTTGTGCGTGGTTCAGAGGGTTGGGCGGAGGCTTTCCTGAAGGCTCTGAGGAGTGCTGCACCCACAGGCTGTGTGCTCAGGCGGCGGGACGTGGGCACTCGGACGAGGGAAAGGCCGGCCCGGCCACGTCGTCTGCCTGCTCCCCCCGGGGAGGCCCCAACGCGGTCAGCTGCCCCGTGGTGGCCAGTGGGCATCGAGATGCAAGCCCGCCTGTTTTCCCGCTGCTCCAGGCCTCTGGTGTCTCCCCACCGCCTGGAACGCAAAAGCCATGCCAACCTTGGTCTTGAGCCTCTGCAGCTCCCCAGAGGCCCCCGATGCTCTTCAGCCTGCACCCGGCCTGTTCCTCCCCTCCTGGGGGTCTTCCTCGCTCTCACCCTGGCTGCCCACCTGGCCTGGCCAGTCCTTCCCACCCTTGGGAAGCCCCCTGACCGTCCAGCCCTCACTGGGCGTCACAGCCCCTCTTGTCTTGGTTCCTTTGCTGGATGCTTGTTTGTTGCCCACGCCTTCTACTTCTTCTAGACTGAACCCCAAGGTGACGGCCAGATCCGCCACGCGGACTGTTACGCTCTCCAGCTTCTGTCTCCACGCGTGGCACAAAGTAGGTGCCTAATAAATTTGTGTAGAATGAATAGGTGGGTCTCTTTGTCTTTGTTCTTTCTCCACCGAGCTCAGCTCCGCACGTGTAGCCTGTGTATGTGCACTCGTCCCTATCGGCCCTTCCCAGTGTGCCCCTAACTCATGGTCGATGCTTTAGGGGTCCCGCAGGAAGCCTAGAACCCACCTACGCCACCCCAGACCACGTCGGGTCAGTTTCGCTGCCATTTCTCTTGGTACAGTTTGCTCTTTTCCTTCATGGCATTCAGCACAGCAGGGAATCGTATGCTTATTTCCTTAATGCCCGTCTTGCTCACCACACTAAACCCCGAAGGGCACACGTAGAGCCAGACAGGCTTTCATCTGATTGCTGGATGGGCGGGTGGGTGGGTGGATGGTTGGATGGGCAGAACAAAAAGATTCAGACACTTGAGGGTGTGGAAAAGGCAACCGAACTTGAAGAATGTGTCACAAGTGCAGAGTGGCTTCCCGGCAGTTCCTGGGATGCGCTGGGCACAGGCGGGTGGTGTGGAGGCAGGACGTGTCCCCAGGGAGTACTGAGAAGAGGCAGTAGGAAGACACCTTGTTCCCAGTAGAGCCGTGAATTCTTTAAGACAGATTCCTCCGAGGAGCTGAGCCCATCCCAATGGCAGTACATAGTTGACGTACAGCCCCTGGGGCCCGTTTGCGGACCTCGCAGGCCGTGGCCTGGCTCCACAGGCTGGGGAAGGGGAGCTGAGGGGGCCCCACAGGAAAGGTGCCAGGTCCACAGTGGCTTTGCGCTGGGGAGCCGGGCCCTCAGAGACGGCCGCCCCTCTGCCTGCCCCAAGAGTTATGCCATCCGGGCTTGGGTGCCTTCCGCAACAGGGTACCGGGCAGAAGAGGCCTTGGGTGAGTAGGACGGCGAGGCCAAGGGTTCTGGGGAAGGCCAAGAGACGAGGTTTAAGATGAGGCCCTTGCTCCCAGGCCACCCTTAGAGCAGGGAGAAGCAGTGTCGTGTGGCTTCGGGAACTGTGTAAGTGGTTGGTCGCGAGCTCTACGGCGAAGTCCGCCCGCCCCAGCCGTCTCCTCTCTCCTCCACGCCCAGAACAGGGCACAGAGCTGCCCGCCTCGATCGCCTGCTCCCCTCCCACCCGCCCCATCACTGCTCCAAACCTTTTCTGTTCTGCAGGCCCACGTCTCTCACCGCCCCGGCACTGCTGTGGGCTTGGCCTCCCTCCTTCTGTAACACCAGCTGCCAGCCGTTTCTCACTGTAGCCCTTACTTGTGTCTCAGGGAGAACAATGCGACCATCCTCTCCAAGGCCAGCTTTTCTTCTTGTGGCTTCCACCCCACTCCCACCTCCCCCTTCCCGCCACTCCAATAAGCCAGTGGGCACATGGCACGTCGTGGGGCTAAGGTCCCTTAGCACGCGAGAGAGGCCAGCATCCCTTCCACGTGGAGTTTCCTCTGGTGGGAAGAGGAAGGCCTAAATGAGAAAGAGGAATTATGTAGTGTCTTAGAAACTGATAAAAGTGTAGTGGGGTAGGAGAAACAAGAAAGCAGACTATGCAGAAACAAAACGAAAAGACAAACCTACAGACTGGGAGAAAATATTTGTAAACGATGCAACAGACGAGGGCTTCATTTCCAAATATACAGCCAGCTCATACAACTCAGTGTCAAAAAACCAAACAAACAGCCCAATCAAAAAATGGGCAGAAGACCTAAATAGACATTTCTTCCAAATGTGGTCTCTATGGACTGCATAGTCCGTACAGATAGGCAGCAGACACATACATGAAAAGATGCTTCACGTCACTAGTTAATAGAGAAATGCAAATCAAAACTACAACGAGGTATCACCTCACACCAGTCAGTGGCCGTCATCAAAAAGTCTACAAATAGCGAATGCTGGAGAGGGCGTGGAGACAAGGGAACCCTCCTACACTGCTGGTGGGAATGTAAATTGGTGCAGCCACTGTGGAGAACAGGATGGAGGTTCCTTAAAAAACTACAAATAGAGCTACCACATGACCCAGCCATCCCACTCCTGGGCACATATCCAGAGAAAACTCTATTTCGAAAAGATGCACGTACCCCAATGTTCACTGCAGCTCTATCCACAATAGCCGAGACGTGGGAGCGACCTGAATGTCCCCCAACAGACGAGTGGATAAGGAAGATGTGGTACATATAATGGAATACTACTCAGCCATAAAAAGGAATGAAATCGGGTCATTGTAGAGACATGGATGGGCCTAGAGATGATCATACAGAGTGAAGTAAGGCAGACAGAGAAAGACAAATATGCTATCACTTATACGTGGAATCTAAAGAAATGATACAAATGACCTTATTTACAAAACAGAAACAGACTCACAGACTTAGAAAACAAATTTATGGTTACCAAAGGGGAGAGGTTGGGGGAGGGATAAATAAGGAGGTTGGGATTAACATATACACACTACTATATATAAGATAGGTGAACAACAAGGACCTACTGTAGAGCACAGGGAACTCTACTTAATATCTTGTAATAACCTGTAGTGGAAAAGAATATGTATAATTAATTTACAACGTTGCATTACTTTCAAGCGTACAGCAGAGTGATTCATAGATATATGAATAACATTTTAAATGTTTAAAAAAATCATAAAAATAAACAACCCAATCAAAAAATGGGTAGAAGACCTAAACAGACATTCCTCCAAAGAAGACATACAGATGGCCAACAGGCACATGAAAAGATGCTCCACATTGCTAATTATTAGAGAAAAGCAAATCAAAACTACAGTGAGGTATGACCTCACACCAGTCAGAAATGCTGGAGAGGGTGTGGAGAAAAGGGGACACTCCTACACTGTTGGTGGGAATGTAAATTGGTGAAGCCACCGTGGAGAACTGAATGGAGGTTCCTTAAGAAACTAAGAATAGAGTTACCATATGATCCAGCCATCCCACTCCTGGACGTATTTCCAAAAAAAATGAAAACTGTAATTGGAAAAGGTACATGTACCAAAATGTTCACTGCAGCTCTATTTACAATAGCCAAGACACGGAAGCAACCTAAGTGTCCATCAACAGATGAATGGATAAAGAAGATGTGAGATACATACATACATATATATATATATA